CCCTCCCCGGGGCCCGGGGCGGCGCCAGCATGCACACAGCTGTGCCTGGCAGGATGGGTTTATTTACTGCCGCCGGCCAGGAGCGGAGGGAGGCTGGGCGGACGCCGCCTCTGCCCAGGTCCGCTGGGCACCAGCGGCTCTGAACGAGCCCCTGCCCAGGGTTCCACACTCCTTCCCCTTCACAATAAATTAAGGAATCTCCAGCGTCTCGACCCCAGGGCGGTGGACGCCAGGCTGCAGGATCAAGTCCCGTGCGACCCTCCAGGCACTCAGCCAGGGGTCCTGGCCGACCCAGGACTGTCCCGGAGCCCCGGCCCACGTCTACAGAGTCCGGATGGCCACGGGGTACAACAGGGACATGTGCTCGGCCCCCTTGATGGGCAGCTTGCGGCTGGCGTAGTGGTGCACGATTTCTGGTACGCTGCTGAAGGGGGGGCTGTTCTGGCCCAGCACATACTTGTGTTCCTTGGTCCGGGACAGCTTCATGTGCATGAAGCCCTGGCTGCTCCTGCGTGGGAGGAGAGACCCCCGTGAGTGGGGCGGCCCCCGGCCCTGCAGGTGCCCACAGCACCCGTGGCCCAAAGCCAGCCGAGGGTAGGCGGCAGACGACCAGGCGGAGTGGGTGGTGTGGACTCCCGCGTGGGCAGCGCAAGAACATCACTTCACCCTCCTCTGGGCTCTGGGCCAGCCCCGCAGCCTTGGGGTTGCAGTGACATCATCCGGAAGCTGTGGCCCCACGCCCCGCCCATCTGCCCGCACCCCCACCCTCCACCTCACCAGTGCCCCAGCGTCCTGGGACCCTCAGCCTTGGGGAGAAGGCGTGGAGTGAGGCCCCCCCAAATACATGTTCGAACTATGACCCTGCGAGGTCTGACAGGCCCAGGCCTGAAACACCCACAGGACAGGTCAGTGACATCTGGAGAGTCCCCAAAGCTCACCAGGGCCAGGACCCACTGGCGGACAAGGACAGGGCTTACGGGGATCTGTCCTTAGGCCCCGCCACCTGCACACAGGCCAGCTAGAGAGCAGTGAGGAGCTGGGGAGCCAGCAGCCCCCAGAAGGCTGGGGCTGGGTCAGGTTGTGGGGCATCTGCAGGCCTGAGATAAAGCCTGGGCTGGCACTGACAGCCTCTGAGGGGAGCGGTGCGGCCCGCACACCACATGGCCCTCACCAAAGCCAGGCTGCGGCCCTGCTCCCCAGTCCCTGGGGAGCAGCCTTTCCCCGCAGCGCAGTGGCACCCTGTACTTCCTCCTCCAGGGACAGACCAGCCATTGGGCTGGCGAGGGTGGCCGAGCCTTCCCACCCGGGACAATTCCTCAGGGTCCATTAGGGCACAGCAAGGCCCTCGCCAGACCCTGGGGGGGGCTGCAAGGGCGGGGCTGGCCACAGGGCCAGGGCTGGCCAGGCCTTCTGAGGAAGCTGTTTAATTACTAGTGAAAGCCCTTCCATTAGGAAGAGAAGAAAAACCATAATTGTATTTCAGAGAAGCCATTTATATGCAAACGAGGCCCTGGCAGACAGGCAGGAGAGGCCAGTCAGCTCCAAGGAGCCAGGCCCTTGTCTCCCCTGGCTGGGCCCAAAAGACTCCAGGCACAGGGCAGAGGTGCTCAGAATCAGAGGGAGATGGGTTCAAATCCCAAATTGGGACACATACATGTATTTTTAAAATGTCTTTTCCTTTTCCTTTTTTTTGAAACTGGGTCTTACTATACTGTCCAGGCTGGCCTTGAACTTGCTATGTAGCCCAGGTAGGCGTTGAACTCTGTGATTCTCCTGCCTCAGCAAGTGAGTGCTGGGATTACTGGTATGAATCACCATAATTTCATTTGGGCACACATCAGAATTTTGACAAATCCACAGAATGAGTGCTGGGGGGAAAAAAAACCCTAACAGATGTCTGTCATTTCCCTAGGCCTGAGAAATGAAGTGATCTGCGGCCACACAGCTAGTTTTATCAAACCCAAGAATAGAATTTGGGTTACCTAACTGTAGTTTGGTGCTTTTTTTTTTTTAGGTTTTTTGAGATAGGGTCTCACTCTAATTCAGGCTGGCCTTGAACTCACTATGTAACCCAGGCTGGTCTCATACTTGCTCTGATCTTCCTGCCTCAGCCTCCCAAGGGCTGGGATCACAGGCGTGCACTAGCCAGACACTTTTTCTCTTATCTTTTATTGAAGTGGAATGAGAACCCCCAGGTATACGCAGTTCAGAAGTCCCTTAACTGTCCACTTTAAAATGTTGCTGTTTTGGGGACAGGGTCTCACTATGTAGTTCAGGCTGGCCTCAAACTCAAAACAGTTCACTTCCTGCCTCAGCTTCCCAGAGCCACGCAAGTGCCAGCACCCTTCTGAGCTGTGGCTGAGGGTGCCGGCTCCCGCCCCGGCGGCCCCACTCACTTGAGGGACAGGGAGAAGTCATTCTTGCTGGTCTCACTGTTGCGCACCAGGTAGCTGGCCTCCTTGCACAGACGCAGCAGGTTCTCGGCGTCGGTTCGGCTGATGGCCCCGTGGTACCAGCTGGGGACGAGAGAGGAGGGGACAGCTCTGCGGGTCAGGTTGGGCCCACCCGGCGGGAAGTCTGAGCAGCCGCCCGGCCGGACGCGGACACTCACACCTGGTCCTCCAGTGGCAGTGCAGGGTCTGTCCATTCCCCCAGGGGGCTGCCGGGCTCTGTGCCCAGGGGCTTGGCTGGCTTGGAGGGCGCTGCAGGGAGCCGGGGAGGTGGCCGTCCCTTGACCTCCCGGCCAGGTGACAGGCAGCTCTTCTCCAATCCTTCAAACTGGGCTGCGGGGAACACACAAGTCAGGGACCTCGAGGACTCTGGGTACAGAGGCAGCTACCGGGGGGTCCCCTCCGCCCCTCGGGGACAGGGTGCTCTGCCCATCTGTGTTGGGACCCTGAGTCTCACCCCCTGGGGAGGCAGCTACCCAAGAAGCACTTAGCACCTCCCTCGGGAGCAGGAGTGGCTGACAGCTTCCAGCCTCCCACCCCTCTGGGGCTCCGGTGCTGATAATATTGTTTCTTTCTCCTCCTCAGAGTTCATCACCGTTCGAAATCACCCCGCCAAGCCATTCTGCAGAGATGACTTATTGATCGGAGAACAATTACCCGACTCTCCGGGTGCCATCCTGACAGACTCATCCTGCCCAGGCCGCCAGACGGCAGCCCTCCCCGCCCCAAAGCAGCTGCCCGCCACCCCCAGAGGCCCTGAGGGGCGGCTTTGCCCTGCCAGGCCAGGGGAGCCCGGATGGCAGCTGCCCAGCGGGTCCCAGGCCCGGGCACACAGGTGGGGACAGTCACTCCCACAGCACCACGGCTCCAGGTGCCCATGCAGCAGATGCCATGTCCACCCACAGGCGCCCGACTGGCACAGCTGACCGCAGAGGGAGTTCCAGTGCTGTCTCTCCCTGTTCAGGCTCTCGTCCAAGCCCTCACCGTCCTCTGGTCACCAGATGCAAGGACACCAGATGCCTTTACTCCCGCTAGAGGCCTCCTGTGTCAGTGACACTGCACCCGGGGTGTATTACACTGGCCAGCGGAGCTCTACCCAGAAGTGGATTTAAAATAGCGAATTTTGCTAGGTGTGGTGGTGGTCGCTTGTAATCCTAGCACTCTGGGAGACTAAGGCAACAGCAACTTAGAAAGAATGGGTCTCAGAAAATACAAAAAGGCTAGGGACGTTGCTCAGTGTGAAGGCCCAGGTTCAATCCCCAGTACTGAAACTAAAACAATAGGCAGATTTCCGAGGCACGGTGAGTACATCCAGCCCGGGGACAGGAACGTGCATTCTGTCCCTCCCCGCTCCCTCCCGGACCTGGGCTCTTCTGTGCATCTCCTAGCCCACCCCACCTCTCCGCTCCTCTAGCCCAAGTCCTCAGGGGCAGGAGGACCTGTCACCCTGGACAGAAACCCCCCAGGACCCACCGCTGCCGTCCTCCAGGCTGGGCTCAGGGAGGGGCGAGGCTGGACTGGAGATGTCCCTGTCCCCGTCAGGCAGGGAGGGGCTGCTATCCAGCTGTCCCACAGGCGGAGGCCAAGGTAGGTCTTTGATGACCTTTATGTCAACTGCAGCCAGCAGCGCAAGGAGAAGGAAGCCAGTGACAGAGACGAGAGAGAGGCAGAGGTTGAGACACAGGACAGGTGAGGAAGGAGGGACCCACGGTTTGGCCTTGGTCACAGGGTGGGGGCCTGGGTGGGGCGCTCTGGCGGCCAGTGGTCCCCTTCCTCCATTCACCTCACAACCCTCGAGGGCCCAAAGGGACCAGGAAAAGAGGAAAAGCAGGATGGGAGCCACCCGCACCCTAGTTGCCATCCGCCCATCCCAGGTCCCAGCAGGCTGCACGGCCTGGGGCTGTCAGGGCCCCACAGACTGGGGCAGACGCTTTGCTGAAACTTAATGCCCCATCCCAGGAAGAGTGACGCCAGGGGTGGCTGCAGGACTGCTAACGAGGTTTCCTAATGACGGGCATAGATTTTCCCATTAGGCAATCCAAACAGTATCGATTCTCCAGGAGACTTGGGAAGATGAATGGCTATCCCGGGTGTGCGCTTTACAGGAAACGGAGGAGGGAGCCTGCTTTCCCAGTCTGGCTGCCTGGCTGGGCCACGGCAAGGCGGCAGGGCTGGGATCCGCGCTCTGCAGTCAGGGGACTTCTCACGGCAGCACCCAGCTGGGTGCCCCTGGGACACAGCCCGGTGTGCGTGGCCCAGCAGCCCCGGCCTTCGCAGCGCCCACGCCCACGCGCCGTCCGCCCTGTCCCCGCCTATTCACCTCTCCGCCCAGACTCACCGGCAAAGGCTTTGGAGATCCTCTCCTTCTTCCACTCCCACGGCTGGTCGTACTCCTCTGGGGGCCTCTCGTCGTCCTCGGGCAGGCGGGACTCCCGGGGCCAGGGGGTGCCCTCGCCCTCGGGGGTGGGGGCCTCCTCGTCGGGCTCATAGGGGGTGTCGTACAGGGGCAGGGGCTGGGTGGCCGGCTCCTTGGAGCCCCGGATCTCTGCCAGGGCAAGGACAGGGGAGAGGTGTGGGCTCAGCCCAGACTGGCCTCCCTCAGCGGGGAGCCTAGCAGCCAGCATACCTCGTGGGGCTGTCACCCTCCAAACAGCTCTGGGCTGTACCAGGCGCTGGCTTAGAGCCTCAGCATGGAAGAAAGAAAGAGAGAGACACAGAGAGGGAAAAGGGACCCCCTTCCAAACCAAGCACCTGAAGGGCTCTTAAAGCACAAGGCACAGGGAGACAGGAGCAGGCAAGCACCAGGGTGAAAGAAAAAAAAAGAAATCCTTGAGCCGGGCGCGGTGGTGCACATGTGTATTCCCAGCACTCAGGAGGCTGAGGCAGGAGGAGGTCAGCCCAACTACATAGAGAGATCCTGTCTCACAAAGAAAAAGGGTCCAGGACAGACAGCAAGCACCGAGCAGCTTCAGGTGACATGTCCCAGGGGACGGGGTCACAGCCCTGCACTCGCCCAGCTCATTGTGTCACAGAGGTCTCCCCTCCCGTCTAGGGTGAGCCCTAGACCTCCTTGCCTGGCCTCCTGGCACCAGGATCTCTAGTCATCCCCCTGCAGCTGTAAGATACCCCCTTGGGCATCACATCACTTCCAGCGTGCACCGCTTTCCCCAAAGCTGCAGATTTTGAGGGGTTCCCTGGACCCAGTGAGAATCAGTGAGGGCCATGGAGCTGTTCCAGCAAAGCGGGTGCTCCACTCCCGGGTGTCCAGGGTCTGCACGTCCCGACCTCGGCAGGGAGGCCACCTGCACTCCTCCTCCATCTCCACCCACTGCACTTTCTCTGAAGCCCCTCTGCTCCCTGCCAGGGTGCCATGCCCTTCGCCCTCTCCTCTCCGCCCAGATCACGGCTCGGGTCTCCAGGGTCTGTGGAGTGAGGTGCCGGGGACAGCGTTCTCCTCCCAGCCTGGCCAGCGGAGTGGCTTCCCTCCCACATCTGCCTGCCTGCAGACAATCCTGGTCCCCTCCCTGGGCAGCGGGCGGCCTGCTCCCTGAGTGGACAAGTTCAGTCCTGTGGCAAAAAAGCCCACTGTCGTGTCACTGCTGGGTGCCGCCGCCTGGCCCATTTCATCAAGCAGAAAGCGGACACTTTAATCTCCACCACTGTCTGTTTCCTTCATCTTTATTTCTTCATCAATTATTTCCAAGCTCAGGAGAGGAAGAGGCCTTAATGACTGGTACCTTAAGACCCCCAAATTTCCCAACAAGCGAATAGTTCGATTCTCTCCCTCCCTTCCTCTTTCTGCTTTTATTATAGCTGTGTGAAGACAGCGCCTCCCTCCCCTGCAGTCCTACTATCCTTGAACTTGTTACGTAGCCCAGGTTGGTCTTCAACTTGGTCCCCCAGGTGCTGGGATCACAGGCACGGGCCACTGTGCCTGGCTCTAACTTTCCAATGCCCAGGTCTTCCAGTCCACTCTGCATACAAAGGACTCAGCAGTACTCTTGAAAGGCTGCATTTATGCTCTCTTGCTCAGGAACTGAGGATGATTCCACGCCCCTTTTGGGCCACGTCCAGAGCCTCACTCCCACCTTGGGGAAGCACTTCCCCGTGTGTCTTGGGCTCCTCCTCTCAGCTGCCAGACACGCCCAGCACCGGCACCAACACCCTGGGACCCTGACTAACATGCACCAGCCTTGCCTGTCCGTCCGATCACCCCGGGGTGCTCCCCCAGGCCGGGTCCTCTTCCTCTTCCCAGAGCCTGTCTCACGCAGCATGGACTGCATCTGTTTCTAGTTGTGTTTCTCACTGCCATCAAACTGTTTCACTTTGATGCAATGTCGTTCCGAATTCGTCACTTCTGGCCGTGTGGCCGTCTTACAGTCACAGCTCCTTCTGCAAAGTGACCGCCTTACAAGTGACGACCACCCCTGTAAGGGCCTGGCAAAGGCGCCCCCTATTTTCTTGGGATCCAGGCATCAGTCCTTAGACATGAGGACCCCAGAGCCTCCTCTGCAGAGCCCAGGTCTTAGGGGACACCTCCCCTACCCCTGTCACTCACCAGCCATCATCTTCTGGGCCTCGTAGGGTTCCATGTAGCCATCATTTTCGGGGACCTTCTCTGGGACCCCTGAGGCTCCTGCTGTGCCTTCTCCAGTCTCCTGGACATCAAACGGGTCTGCGTAGTCTTCTAGGATGGCCAGCTATGAGAGGAGGGTGAAGAAAGCCGCTGCAGATGGCCCAGGGGCAGTCCTGCTGCTCCCCACGCTGTCCACGGCAGAGTCCTGGGGGTCTGGACAGGTGCCCCTGATGCCAGGGCAGCTCAGGGACGGGCTCTGGCTCTTTTCTGCAGCCCTGCCCAAGTGTGCATCTTTCTTTCCTGTGTCCCTGGGCTGCGTCCCACACTATGTGGCCTGCCTGAGGCTTCCCACAGGACACGCGCCTACAGCGGGTGGTTCAAAGGGAATTCGAAGGTGCCAGAGAGCAAGGGGACACACACACGCATTCAACTGGCACCAGCGCAGTCCTGCCGTCCTATCCACATGGCATCCCAGGCGCGTGGTACCAAGACCATTAGCAGGAAACGAAGGCCCAGACCATTCTGCCTAAGGAAGGGGTGCAGGATTGGAACTCAGGCTCTTGTACAGAAGCCCATTAACCGGCCACCGTAGGCATCTCGGCTGTGCTGGGAGAGACCCAGGGCCAGGCCCTCTCCTCCCACGCAACCCCCTTTGGAAGATGGGCCCCACCGCCCAGCTGTGTCATCCCCTGGCTGGAGCTCCTTGTCCAGTCTCTCCAGCTCCAACAGGCACCTGGCACACAGCAGGCACTGGATATTTCTGCCCGTCACCACCGAGCACCGCAGAGCCCTGGTCCTCCCGCCTCGCCCTGCCCCGCCCTCCCACAACAGCTCCCCCAGGGGCTCAGACCCCACTACTGTTGGTGCTTCAGCCCTGCAAAAGCTCCTCGGTGCTTTGAGAACTCCTAAGTTAGCGATCCAAGACCCTCTCCTTTGCGGTTTCTCTGCGTGCTGGGATCACTCAGGGCTCTGTTCCTGTCCCCATCGCTTCCCTGTGACAAATGTTTGCTCCCTGGACGCTGAACTTCCTGCGACACCCAGGGCCTGCGGGCCCTCCCTGGCAGAGCCTTCACCAGTTCGACCAGAAACAGGGGCCAGGTGAGGCTGAGCACCCTGAGGCTCCTCCTCCTAGCCCCCACCCCTTCCCACCCGCGGGTCAGAGCTGCAAGCCGTGCGCCCCTCCCAGGCTGGTGTGGGGCACCGTGGGCAGCTCACTGGCGCCTCTGTTCCACTCCTGGCTCCCACACCCTCGCTCCAGGAAGCACCTGAGCACCACCTCTGTGGCCTCGGGCACCTGGAAGCCACCACCACCGGCTGTTTTGTTTATGGTCCCGTAGCTCCTGCCCTGTGTCCACCAGGGCCTGGACAGCGGGCTCTCAATGGCACTTCCTGGACCCTAAAGCCCTCCTTTTCCATCCCCACACTCCATCCTCGGGAGGGACCCCAACTTCCAAACCCCATTCTCTGACCAGCAATGGCAGCAGGATCGGCATCTGAATGGGACCAGAGCCTCTGCCCTGGGCTGAAGGGAGGAACCGCCAGCCAAGGGTCCCCGGCCAGGCTGCCATCCGGGCACACGCTCTGTACCAGCACCAAGCTCCAGGACAGAACCGCTGGGCTGGGGATGTAGCTCAGGGGTTCTGCCGCCTGCCTCGCAAGAGCAAGGTCCCAAGTTTGATCCCCCACTACCAAAACAAACAAAGAAACAGAGCAACCAAAACGTGGACTTCCTTCCCAAGCAAGGGCGTCCCAACCCTGGCTCTCATCTGGTCAACTGGGCAGTGCCCCAGAGCACTCCTCCCTCAGGTCTGCTTCCTGCACATGTGGGGAGCGGGCCCAGCTCTGTGGTGCTCCACTCTGCAGCGGGGCCACATGACCTGCAGGTTCACACCTGCGACAGGGTGCCCGAACTACAGCTCCTTTCATTTGTGTTCAACGCCTGGAAGCCTGTCTTTCTCAGCTGCTGAGCAAGGCTGGAGGGGCAGAGCACCCCGTGTCAGGGCAGGAGAAGGAAGACGGGCTGTAACAGCGCTCAGCCCAGGTCGGTGTGGTGCTCCTGCTCAGGACCGACCGCTCCGAGGAGCGTCCCTGTTTCCAGAATTAAACTCGCAGGGTTTAAGGCTTGTATGGAACCCACAACCGCTGAGTGGGACGCATATCTCCCGATTCCCAGGGCTTGGGCACACCTTTTCCAAAAATCTGGGAAATGCTACCTCCGCCCTCCTCTCCTGTGGACTTAAATTTTCCAAAAGTTAGTGGCAGGGATGCAGCTTGACTGCAAGGTCACAGTGGAAAGTGTAGCACCACACACCGGAGAGTCCTGAACAGAGAGTCCTCTACATTTTGCTTATTTCAGTACTGGCCCAGGTGTTTAAGTCTCTGTCACTGAGTCCCCAGGAAGTGACTGCTCCATCTGAGGAAGGTAACTTCTGGCACAGGCTGCTCCTAATTTTGGGGATGCCTGTGCCTGTTTTATCTGCCCAGGAAACTCTTCCAACATGAATCACATTTTTCCTTTTCTAATTACGAGAGCAATGTGAGGCATACAGAGGAATCACATCGCAGACACGCAGTGGATACTGTTGACCTTCCCAAGACCCTCGTGCATCGGCAGCCACCTCGGGATTGAGGGGCCAGTAGCAGCCCCCAGGATTCAGGAGGTGGTGGCACCACACAGAACACAGCCTTCGTCCCTTCTCTAAGGCTGCCTCCTCTTGCTCCTTCCCTTAGCAAACGCTTCAGGTACACCGGCCCCATGGGGCCCCAGGGGCCAGGCATGGTGCTGCCTGAAATCAGATGGCAGGGCAGTGAACCTCTGCAGTGCTACCCACCACCTGAGAAACAGTGCAGGCTTGATCCAACAGTCCCATGCCACAATTTCCCCATACAGAATGCCAGGATAGTAACAAGTCTTGTTTATAGGCTGTTGAAAGGATCAACCGGCCCAACACATCAGCTGCTTCAAAGTAGTACCAGGCCAAAGTAGGTGCTCATTTAACATGTGTCAGCTACTGTGTTATTCAAAATGAAAAGAAGCCGGTTATGATGGCACATGCCTATGATCCCAGCACTGGGGAAGCTGAGGCAGGAGGATCACCGAGAGTTCAAGGCCAGTCTGTGCAGCAGGTACCCTTCAAGCCTCCGTCTTGGCCAGGGCTTGCTCTGCTCAGCCAGCCCCTCCCGTCCATGGTTCTCAGGGTCCCAGCTGTCCCCAGCTTGTCACAGGCAGAGTGCCAGGGCTGAGCTGGGACTGAGCCACTCACTGATGAAGCTGGCAAGTGTAGCAGACATCTCTCCGACGGAGTGCCAGGCCAAGTGGATGGTGTGCCCACATGACCCCCCCCAGCGACCCACAGGCCTCAGCTGTCCTCGAAGCACCAAGTGTAGCACATGGCCAGCTCAGGTTAGACGCCAAGAGGTCCAGCCTGTGCACAAAGGGCCAAGACCTGGATTCCTCTCCCTTCACCTCCTTTCCGCCTTCCTCCACTGCATCACATGTGTGTGACATAAGCAATCACACCCCAGACTCTGCAGGGCTCACATTAAAGTTACTCACATCAGGTGTGGTGGTGCACACCTGTGATCCCAACACCAGGGAGGCTGAGGCAGGAGAATCACAAGTTCGAGGCCAGCCTAGGCTACATAGTGAGTTCAAGGCCACCTGAACTACATAGTGAGACCCTGTCTCAAAAAACCAAACCAAACCAATACAATAAAGCCACTCACAAGAGGCAAGGACCAAACCTTCCAGGAGAAGGTCCCCTTCCACACCTAGGGCAACGCTAATCACACACAATACTGGGGACACTGGCTAAGGGGCCTCGGGGTGGGATTGTCGGGCTCGGCTTCGGACACTGTCTCCCCAGTGCCCCTCTTCTGTTCTCATCCGTATCTTCAGGCTGCAAACCCTACAAGAACCTGAGGGTCGGTGCAGGATCCTGGAGGCTCCGCACCCCGGCCACCTCCGCCCCACGAGCTGGAGCTCTCGTGTCACACAGGGCTCCCGACTGCCTCACTGTCCACGTCACTTGCTCTCCACCATCCCCGCATCGTCAGAGGCGAGGGTCAGTTCACACTGCGCAGATGGCCCTCGGTGGCCCAGTCATCCCCTCCCCCAGCGAGACCAGGTCTTCCTGCTGGACACGGGAAAGTGCGCAGATCAAGCCAAGGCCCACTCCGAGGCCCCTCTGCCCGGCACAGCCAGGGCTGGCGGGACAGGGCCAGCGCCGGCCGGGGCTCTTTCTGCAGCCAGATGGCAGGGCTTGCCTGCCACCAAATGCCACCACTCCTGCCGCGCCCGCTTCTGCTGCGCCCGCACCTGCCCTTCCCTGGCTACCCAGATGGCCAGGCTGAGCCCTGCCAGCCACAGTGGGGGCTCACAGCGGGCAGCAGCCAGGGTCCCGAGCCCCTGACCTCTTAGGCTCCCGTCCAGGTCACCCTCCATCCCCACACTCACTGGACTCCTTCCCCATCGGTCAGTGGCCCCTCCACCCACACATCCGACCTGGACACCGATCCTGCCCTGCCCCAGCACTGGGCCCTGGGCTCTGGAGGAGATGTGGAGGCCAGCGCAAGGCTCACCGTGGTCCCCAGTTCCACATTCCCTCCAGAGGAGACCCAGAGCCACAGCCGAGGGGCCCCGTGGAAGAGAGAGGGAGAAGAACGAGGCAGACACTGGCCCGGCAGGGGCAGGGTGCCCGGACACACAGTGAGCAGGTCCGCCGGCATCTGGTCTCAGCTGTGCCCAGAGAAGCCTCCGGGACCCCTACCCGAGGGCAGGAGCCACCTCTCCAGGTCAGGGCCCCTGCTGACTCCCTGCCCGGCCCGGCCCAGGGGACACCAGAGCCTCCGCATCACACCCACTGAAGAAACACCTTGGAGAGCCTGCTGGATTTCATTCCTGTCCCTGTGGCGGACAAAGACATCTCTTGTTTGTCCCCAGGTCTGGCAGCCCACAGTCACAGGGCTGACTCCAGCAGGGGCCTGGCTGTCTTGGGTCTGTCTGCCTGCCTGGCCGTGGGGTGCAGCCCCTTCTTGGGGTCCCTGGGGGGACCTGGGAGCTGTGGCTAGGAATCCTGGTGGTGGACAACTCTCTTTACACCAAGCATTGTGTCAGGCACGAGGACACACAGAAAGCAGGACACAGACATCAGCCTCTGTCCTGGGGGGACCAAGCCGTGGGTAGGCAGTCTGTCAGGTCGCTGTGAGCCAAGCACAGGGGACAAGGCCCAAGGACAGCTCAGGCCCCTGCCAACAGCAGGGGTGAGAGGAGAAGACAGCGGCGGGTGGCAGGAAGAAGGCCTGCACGTCCCTCTGCCTCGCTGCCACCAACACCGCCAGCACGCAGCAGCAGGGACGATGAGGAGGCCCCACAGCCTGGGGGAGCACTGCAGCCGGGATCCTGGCCCAGGACGGCGGCTGTGGTCCTGGTCCCTAGGCAGGAACCACGGAAACACGAGTCGCATTCCTGAGGCTTCAGCTCTGACCCCGACCCATCTCAGCACCAGGCTTCACTCCGCTCTAATAAAGCTGCTCTCTCTCCTCCACGTAGAGAGCTGAGCTCGCACCAGGGTGAGTAAAGAGCAGGGCCGGGCAGTCATCTTCCCGGACTCGGGGACACAGGACCCGGGGATAGCTCTCAGCTGTCACTCTTCCAGACAGGGACAGTGGCTGCCTGCTCCTCTGCAGGCCATGAAAGGAGAGGAGGAACGCGCCTGCGGTTTAGCCTCGTCTGGGCAACAGGTCTCAGGGCAACTGTCCTTTGCGGGGCACACGGGAAGGCGTTGGACCCGCAAGGCCGACATCCTTGACAAGAGCCAGGCAGAGCCCACCCGGTCTTCTGGGAACTGCCCACCCAGCTCCCGACCAGTGGAATAAGGCAAGGGCGCCCAGCTGGCTGAGTCCACAGGGAGAAGCCTGGCCCTCACCTCTTTTCCTTCTTTCCGGGGCTCCAGCATCTGCCAGGATGCTGGGCTCCAGGAGGAGGGAGAGGAAGAGGAGGAAGAAGAGGAAGAAGAGGAAGAAGAGGAAGAAGAGGAAGAGGAGGAAGAGGAGGAAGAAGAGGAAGAGGAGGAGGAGGAGGAGGAGGAGGAAGCGGCGGCGGCGCGCAGCAGGAGGGGAAAGCTTTGCTTGGTTCTGCCCTGGGGGAAGGGTCAGAGATCAAAGGGCAGTGAGCCTGAGGCACAGAAGGTCAGAAACCCGCTGAGGACGTGTGTATGCCCCGCCATTCCTGTTCCGTTAGAAGATTAGAAGAAAAGACTCCGGGCTGAGGCTCCCGGGGCTGCGCGTGGGGAGTGAGTCCGGGAGGGGAGGGCCACCGGTCCTGGGGCCACAGCCAGTGAGGGTCTGGGGTCCCCACTCGGATCCGCAGGCAGAGAATCTGAATAAAGGTGGGTTCGGGCTCCAAGTCCCAGGGTCAGGGGCTCCGGAGCTGTCCGCGGGAACCCGTGACAGCGCGAGGCCGGGCTCGGGCCAGGCCACCTTTGTCCCTCGCGCAACCTCCAGACCCGCGACCACCTCCCTCCCCTGGCGGTCACCCCTGCCCAGCGCACT